TTTATCTGATTGGTTTCAATTTCAGTACGATAAAATCCTAATGGATGAATCACGTCACAAAAAAAAAAAAAATCATTTCCAGTTTGTCATATTTTTCTAAATACTGATGATATACAAAATTATATATCGTTAAAGAATCTCATATAAAAATAAAATATTCCACATGAAGATTAACAAAGACATGTATTTATTTTAAAAGCGTTGAAATTAACAAGCCACTTCTCGCTCCAGTCCACATTAGATTATACGACATTTTCGAAATCAGCTGCAAATTTCAGTTTATCGAATCGATTAGACTTAACATTAAGACAGAATAAACAATTGTTTCACGAGCAGACGTAACTACTTCGGAACTGATGACATCAGAGTTGTCGTCGTTGAAAATAATGAACAGAGTAGGTCCAAGAATAGGATCCTGATGGACACCCGTTTTAATGTAAAATGATCTACAGGACTCGTTGTCCAAGACAATCTCATTATTTTTACAGTGCTCTGACAATCGGAAAAAGTCGTTGCAAACAAAACAAGAGTGCTGGATTGCTATGCATATTATATGGCAGAAGAATACTGATCCATGGACGAAATATTTAATTAAAATAGCAACACTTTTGCTTAGAATCAGAAAGAGGCATGAAATTTATTGGACAAACAATAAAGAAGAGGGGCTTGGAAATCTTAAATCTCACTGAACATTATTATGGGCAAAAGAGATAAGGGAAAGCAGTGAGATATTTACTTGACAAGCGTTTTTAAAAGGATACCAGAAAAAAAGACATGAGTCTTGGCAAAATAAGAAACAGAGCTAAACGCCACGAGTGATAGGAACTTTTTGAGCGTCAGGAGCGGCTATGTCCTGATGGAAAGCGGCAAGAGAATAAAAGAAGATGTTATTTTTTTCATTTTTTTTACACTTTAGCTATTCTAAAACTTTTCCGTTTCAGCTATTCTAAAATCTTTTCTAGACATACATGTCTCAGTTATCTGAAAATGTCTATAATATTTTTTTCTTTTATGTGACAAAGTTTAGATATAATATTTAATAATTTTTTCACCTAAGGGCTGTGAGAGAAAGTTGAGATATATTGACAATTATACGATTTTCTTTTCAGTTGTGAGACACATTTTAGTGCATCTTTCGCTTATCTTACAATGTTTATATATTTTTTTTCGATTTTCAAATTTTGATATGTCTTATCTGACAAAGTGTCCATACATTTTTCAATAATCTAACAAACCATATGTATTTTCATCAATTATCTGACAAGGTCGGTGTGAAAGTGGTGTCTGGATAAGTAAGCTTATCTCAAAGATCAATTACGACTGAATAGTGAGTTCGATGCCGAGCTCTCCAAACTTTCGGCCTTTTGCCACACCTAAGCTACGCTTAGCAAAGAGTTCGTGTTTTGACGTGGCGTATTGGTTAGTAAACTTGTCTCGCTGAAACAGTTATGACTGGGTAGTTAGATTAATCGTCACTGGGTGCTCCTTAATCTCTGCCTTGTGCCACATGTAAGCTGCGCTTAGTAAATCACTATCTGACAAAGTTGGCGTATTTATTCTTTTTTATTTGACATAGTTGAGATATAATTTCCAAAAATCTAAAAATGCTTTTACTCATGTAAGAAAATCGCGATAATGGACTCATAAATCAAAGGAAATTTTCGTCCTGAGTATGACGATAAACTACATCCGCGTCCAGGGTAAGACGATAAACTACATCTGCGTCCAGGCTAAGACGATAAACTAAGTCCAGCAGCCTTTGAGGAGCGTGGAACCACCTCTTAATTGCTGGTGTTCGCAGGTTCATCCTGACCCTGGGTGATGGCACTTGTTAGGGTCCCAGCTATGGGTAAATAGTTGACAAAGAAACTGAGGTAAAAAGTATTATGAAAGTGTAAAAAAAAAAATTAATACTAGAATATTTTGTAAAAAAAATTATTACAAGAAATAAATGTTTGAAGAAAAAAAATATTACCAGCAATATATTTTTGAAAAAAATTATTACCAGCAATACGTTTTTTAAAATAATATTACCAGCTATACATTTATGAGGGAAAAAATATTACCAGAAATAGATTTTTGACAAAACAAAATATTACCATGAAAAAAAAAGTTGTCGGCATTAAATAACCTATTGAGGTTGATATGCCGTAAAACGAAAAATAAAACCAAACCAAACCAAATTGTTTTCCCACCTGAAAGTAAATAAAAGACTCTATAATCTGTCGGGTTACATAGTTTGAAAGACATAACGAGGACAATAACAAAAGTAAAACACGATTTAAGGTGACAGAAAATGAGGATTTACATTACTTTTAAATTTGTGAAGCTCGTTGTCCACAGGAAAGAATGAAACTGGAAAAGAATCCCACAAGCGAGAAATGTCTGAGACGAAACTGTCAACATATAGCCTATGGTTACAACTAGCAATTTCAACTGTAAAATGATGAGACCTAGCTGCCAATCTAGTACTGCTCTTAAATTCGTCAAGTCGAGGTACAACAGAAAAAAACATATCAGAACAATTTCCATGAAAATATTTTTAGAAGAGTCGGAGTGACGAGACAAAGAGGTGATGGGGAAATTACTGAAACATTGCTGCTTGGGGAGGATCGATAACTTTGCCGAATCCACTTGAATATATTCATGTATATCTAGAAAAACAGCGAAAGTGCAAAAAACAGATGTGCCATCAATATGCAACGCTGGGACGAATGTGCTTATAAATGTGCAAGACACATTGTGACACGAAATATTATGTGACAGGACATAATTAAAGGACTTCCACAGGAGCAGATTTACCAATTGATTCAATATAATTATTTCACTTCATGTTAGCGGAGAATGTAAAACCTACAAGACACAGTCGAGATTAGCATCTGCCATGCTAACGAAATGCAAAAAAAATTCTAGAAGACGATTAATAGAGAACTATTTCCTTTTTGGGGCGTCAAAATAAACAAGTCATTTCTCACCCCAGTTCACAAAAGATTTTACATTTTCGAGATCAGCTGCCAATTTGAGTTTGTCGAATGATTAAACTTAAAGTTATGACAAGAGGAAACAGTTGTGTCTTAAGCAGAGATAAGTATTTCGGATTGATGACATCAGGAAGATCGTTGTTGAAAATGAAGAATGGAGTAGGTCCAAGAATACTGCTTTGGAGGACGCCCGTTTTTATGTAAAATGATCTAGAAGACTGGTTGTTCAAGACAATTTCATTATGGGGTTTGATAATAGCGAATGAATCAAATCAAGGAAACGGGCATGAATATCATAAACCTTTGAACGTTGAAGAAGGCCAACATGTCAAACCCTGTCAAAGGCTTTACTAATATATAATGCAGCAAATTGAGCTCCGCTATTTTTATTTAAAGATTGACAGACTCTATCAGCAACGACAGCCACCACATCAGCAATTGACCTAGGGAAGTGAATATCATATTTTTTTGTTTGTATGATAACCCTACGAACTGAGATGTTTATCCAATTCGGAGTTGATGCGTGCCTTTTGTAGTTTTCTTATAAATGTAGAAGAGTAACAGATCGATACTTAGAAGGATCAGACAGTTCGCTAGAATTCTTAAAAACAGGATCTATAGAAGTATTCCCATCAATCTGGCAAGGGAGAAGAATCAGATCATCTACTGGAGATGTTGCGAAGAAAAGTGGCCATTGTGTGTGCAGATTTCTTAAGGACATATTTTGGAAGGATCATGCTTAGAAAAGATAGCGGCAACCATAGAGGGAGTTATAAGAATATCACGTAGTATAAAGCCAGTACTAAATAGAAAGTTAAGTAAGTGTACATTTGATGTTTCAGGAGTGGGGTTGATGGAAAGTTTTAGGGCAAAGCATTCTTCTTTATCAGAAGAAAATGATGGCATTTCAAATTGATTGACAGAAGAATAAATTGAGGACTTACCTTAATGACTTCCATTTTGAAAAAAAAATCGTGATACCTGTTTGCTGAAAAGGTCTACATATGTGTTTATTTATCTGATGATGTTAAGATTTTATTTTTACTTACCTGATAATATCCATACATATTTTCTTTTATATGTCAAAATTTATACAGTGTAATCCGGATATAAGAGACCCTGATATAAGAGAAACCCGGATATAAGAGAGATTTTCTCTGTTCCCAAATTAGAGCCTGTGTTAATGTATATAAAATAGACCAAACCCGGATATAAGAGAAACCTGGATATAAAAGAATCCCAGATATAAGGGACTTCTTATCCAGTCCCGACAACTCTTTTATATCCGGGTTACACTGTATATACATATGTTCCATAGCTTAACAAAGTATATGTTGTACAGTTATCTCAGTGTATCTGTATAGATTTCAGTTGACTTACAAAGTTGAGATATTTTTAAAAAATCATCCTACAAAGCTTAGCTATCCTTAGGTATCAATTCTTTATCTCACCAGTGCTCTGCTGGAACACCGTCTTCTATAATATATCAGATATTGTAGTCTTTATTTTACATGCGATGATTTATGTAAACTTCAACATCCACATGCTTTTAATTCTGTAACCTATTTGTTGTGTGTTTTTGTCTTTGCATCTATTCTTCTAGCAATACCAGTCATTTGTATAGGTAACTAAAGGTCACCATTTTAATTTCTTCCCAGATGATCTGGTGGTTTATCGAATAGCGGCCCGGAAAGAGAAATTGGTAGATGTGAGTTTGAATTCCAGTCGAGAGTGTTACATTCACTTACGAGCAAATACCTTTTGTAAAGGTATGAATCCATCTCTTCACCTCCAACTATATGGTTGCAAAGTACGCATTCAGGAAAGCAATAATTGCTCTCCAAAAATGTGTAATGTTATATTCACTCACAAACGAAGAGCACAGTCTCTTAATCAAAAATATTTTTCTTTGAATTAAATAAAGGATAATGAGTTGATAAACCGTAAAAATATGAATCAATCATTTCAATCCTTCCCGGTTAATTACATTAAATCTTTCCATATTCTAATGATTTACAGCCTTTATGTACTAACAGATATCTATCTATCTATCTATCTATCTATCTTGGGGGACACCGCTCTGGTATTCATTAATTACTTTTATGTGTACGCCATGTTTCCTTCTATTTTGTTAAATATATATATATATATATATATATATATATATATATATATATATATATATATATATATATGATAACAAGTACTTTTTTAATAACAAGTACTATTTTTAAGATATTTTTTATGTTTATGCATTCTTTTTATAGATACAGATATTTAAGTACATGCTCTGTTTTATAATAAACTATATGCACATACTCATATTAAAAATACAAAAAAAACATGCTTTGGTGTTTATACACATAAGTGAGTTCAGGTAAGTGTGATTGAAAGCAATCCGTTGACAGACTGAATGTGTTTTCATCTTGCACTCAGAAGAACCATAGAGTTGTTTCTAAAATATCATTAGAGATTTTAGAAACGGATATGTTTAAAGTAAATATGCAAAGATGAGTCGGATAGGAAGTATAAGAGAAAAATCACTGTAAATTGGCGAATTGAAAAATATGACAACAGAGAGAAACAAGAGAAGAGGTGCTAACAGTTTATCACTCCTCGGTCTTCAAAGTCAAGTGAAGACAAAAACATAAATATGAGCACGATGACTCAAAAAGCGGGGAAAAAAGAAGAGGAAATTATTACTGGACAATCAGAAGTATAAATTAAAGAGAGGTGAAATTTAGACACAACAAACATTCCTTCTGCCTGCGTACGGAGAGAAAACCACCTAAACCTGATATAAATGATTCCAAGGACTTTCAGATGGTAACGCAATTCTGCTTTGTCGATTACCGTGAAGGAATCTAGAGGTAAAAGTAGGATTAAATATTAAGTAATTTGCAATCGGAGAACCGGAAGTATTGACAAGTATGTGTTAATTTTTATGCTACACTTTACAGACCCAAGGTGGTATATACTTGTCGATCCTAGACGCCAACATTTGATTGGTTCTACCAATATATTTAGCAAGGCACAGATATTTGTAATTATAAAGTACTAAACAAACATGTGAGAGATGTAGAAGTTTTTTGTTATAGCTTTTGAACCCACACTTTACAATGAGTATATCGTATTTTCATATCTTTGCTTTCTCCTTATGCTTTGTTTTAAATATTTTTGTATATAATGATATATACTTTTAAAATATCTGTCTTAAAGCTCTAATAAAATTAATTAAATCTCGACAATCCCTAGGTAAATGCCATCAGATCAAACATAAGTTGTTGATCTAAACTTCACTACAACAGCACAAATTTGACGTATTGCCAGACATTGTTTTCACAGTGTTATTCAGTATGAATGTCCTTATGAATAATCGTTAACGTACGTATAAATATGCTGGCTGTCGATTCGGTGTGGATTCAAGTGATAGGTGAGACCAAAGCGGTTTTCTTTTCAGGTTTACTGACAGACTCTACATGTTAAGTTATTTCTAGCTTGGTATCGATTATAACAATTTATGTTGTTGGGCTACATATATACTAGTACTGTTTAAAATTTGCAATGTTTTCGGTGACATATACTATGCAAATACATTCGTCATCGTGTAGTATTTGTTTATATCATATGTCCCTATTTCTCTCACCTTTAATACAATTTAATATTTTCATTTATCTCTTTCCCTAAATATTAATCAATCTATAACGTATATTATGCTTCTTTCGATTTATAGAAAACTTATATCTATCTATATCAGTCTTTTATGACTATGTATCTATAACAATATTGATCTCCAATACTGGTTATCTATCTATCTATTTATCTATCTATCTATCTATCTATCTATCTATCTATCTATCTATCATATTTGCTTCGTAAACGAAGAAGGTATCTTCAGTTTGATTATATTGTGTCGGAACTAAAGATGCTGTCTTTTTTCAATTGAAATTTAAAAACAATATTTACATTTTGTATACTATCGTTCGCCCAATAAAAGGTCTCACTCGCTAACCGGAAATGGGTAGCAACTCTGTCATCTAAGCAATATGCTGATGTACCTATCTATCTATCTGTCACTCACTCACCCACTCACCTTTGCAAAAATCATACAAGCAGTATTTTTCATGGAAGGGCGGTGACCTTTACTCCATAATGGTGCATACAGTATCTTGCAACATGTATCCAATTAGAATCGAAAGGTTTTATAATCTATATAAAGTGAGTCAAATAGTGTGAACATTTATATTGTTTGTACGATTTTAATTTAGAAATGATAATGCCTTTATAAGTAACCGAATATGGATTGATTCAGTCAACTCTCAGAATACGTTTTTAAATGCTTCTTTATCTGACACATCGACATCTCACTAATTGAAAGTATTTTGGGACTTACGGCATTATCAGGTTGAAACACCTGTTCCCGAAGGATCCCCGAAGTTAAGCAAGGTCGAACCTGGTCAGTACGTACTTGAGTGATTGCTTGGGAATATTTAGTGCAGTAGGCCTGATTGTGCTGGTGGCGTAATGCATAATTGTTCGAAATTGGAACTCGAACAGCTGAGTTCCAATTCTAATCAGGTTTGTTATATTCACTCACGCTCAAATACCTTTGGGAAATGTATGAATTCTTCTTCTTCTTCCACCAACTATTAGTAAGACGTGTGTCAGTAAAAGCATTTTTATCTCTAAAAGAAATGTTACATTCTAAAAAGTCTATTTTGGCTATAAATAACCGCAAAAGGTTGATAAACTGTAGAAATCAAATCGATCCATCAATCAATGAATGCAATGTTATAGTTTGCCTGTTTCTCAAAGATATTTATACGATTTAAATAGAGAATACATACGCCTTTAAAGAAAACAAACTCAATTTAATAAAATTAACACCCACATCACATACTGCTTAAAAGAAGTGTTCAGAGACGAAGATTAATAGAATCAATAGGCCGCCTACACAGGTGAAACAAGAAAGAATAATTTAAACAGATTTGAGTAAACTAACTAAACTGCAAGCCTCACCGAAACCAACGAAGAATGTCTGCCACATAAAGCACCATTGTATCGCGTACATACATATATATAAAGAAGAATGAGAAATAAGAAAAATAAAAGTAATGTAATATAAATCTAATGGCTAGTCTCGTTGGCCAGCATGTGTAGCCAAATAGCAGACATATACTAATCTACCTGTATTTATAAAGGGTAATTTGTAATTGGCATGTATGTGGGCATTTTTCTTTAGAGAAGTATGTCAGGATGAGTTAGTTATGTAACTATATACAGCGTTTAACGTCTATATTTCCCGCTTATTTAAATGCCATCATTTTGAATACTGGTTTTCAGGGCAATTAGACCCTCCATCGATTAAACAACTGTCCCCACACATTCTAAATGATCGTAATTGATTTGAATATATTTTTTGAGACGAAACGAAAATGAATGTTTAAATCTCAAGATCTTACTCTTTCTTTTAGTCAGACAGTTGTATAATTTCCATCACAGTGTGACATGAAAATTCAAATTTTCGAAGAAAATCGATCTTTTATTTGAAATAAATTCATTCCTTTTTCACATCTTGTGCCATCCATAACCCGTGCTAAGTAATAAAGAACCCACCATCGTATTTAGAAAATCACAGCCTTGTAGATAAACAAAAATATAGATTCGCACAACTATCTATAAATGAACAAATGGTTTAAAATGGAATCACATGTGGCCTTTTCTTTTAAAAAGGAACTTTACGTATAAAATGCATTGGTATTAAGATAGTTGCCTTTTTTTTTCTTTTACTGACAAATGTTCGTTTGTAACTCCTTAACAGGATCTTTTAAGGGAGAAAAGAGGGGTGTGACCTGTCATAACCTTTCAATACTGGGTTAAAAAGAAGTTCATACCTATTTTTGTCAACACGTATTCTTTTCTGATGTGACTGAAATTTTTTATATATATCCATGTTGTAAAATATTAAACTTATACATTCAGCTAAGTACATTTTCAATCAGGTCTTATAAAAGAAAGGAATACATGAAAAACTTCTGGAACTGACCAAACGAATGCGTATCATTTCCCATCAAGACAATACCAGAGGATGATAAGTGACGTATTATAATGTCTAACAAACAAAAGTGAATAAATGCTGTTGTTTTTCTGTTTATTTTTAACAATGTAATTAATAATCATATTTTAATTTTAGGATTAAGTTATACATTATATGTTTTTAGATAATAGGCGATTATGAATTTAAATCTTAACAGGTTTATAGTCATGTATGTTAGCATACAAAAAAGATTAATTCTTTCAGGAATGGAGGTATTTGAAAAAAAAGGTGCAGATTTATGTACAGATTGTCTTTGATTTCTTAATGCATTCGGCATGCTCTTCTGACCTTGTAACTTTGGCTTAATTATTTTAATCCCTAAAATATGATCTTAATGGTAAGAACTACAGTTCTCTGGAAATCTTATAAAAAAAGAACTTAGAGCAGTTCATCATACAGAAAGATTCCAAGTTATGGGGCGATGGAATCCTGAATTTGCCGAAAAGATAGCAAAACGTAGTGGAAAAACATAGTGCATATATGGTTGACTAAATCTATCTAGAAGTATGTAACTGCCATTCTAACATCTTTTTGCCAAGAACTGCTGTTCTGTGGAAGAAACTCCTGTCGGGTTGTTTACTCGATCACGACAATCTTAACCTTTTCGAGTCTAGTATTATCCATTACCCTTCCGATATAAACACTTAAACTGTACTTTTTGTTTTCTCTTACTCTCATACATCACCATAACGTCAGACTTCAACTTGAGTGGTTCTTGGTCCTTCTATTAGGCGAACGATTGTATACAAATTGTAAATATTATTTTTAAAATTCAGTTTAAAAAATACACCATCTTTAGTTCCAACACATAATCGGACTGAAGATACTTTCTCCGTTTACGAAGCAAATAAGATGTTCCTTCTGCGCCGTAGTTGAGAAAGTTACCCACCATTTAAAGATTGCATTTTTTTTTTCCTTTAAAGTCAGACTTTTAATTCATTCCTGATTAGAGTTTGACGCAACACTATCTTCCTACCCATCTCCTATTTATTTAACATCGTACTGTACTGTGCACTATCCTCCTACCCAGCTTCCATCTATTTAACATCGCACTGTATTAAGCCTTAATGGAGGAATAAAGAGAGAAAAAAATCCGAATAAAAGTATAAAAACAAGGCGGGGAGCCGAATAGGAGATACATTTAAATAGAGGCCAAGAAAAAAAGACTACTTGCATGCATGAAATTTGAAAGTTATGAAAGTTAAAAAATAAATAAGTAAATCTTACGCAAATAAAAGAAAATAAGAATAAAAATATAAGTATATTTATTGTAATGTTTTTTTTCTTACGAACGCGTTGATATAAAATCTTTCAATATATACCGAGGGCAGTAAAGATTAATATTATGCAAATTCCTATTGCAGTCAATTATTTTAAATGTGTTCAAGGTGTCTCTGTTATCGGCCTTGTGATAGCCACGCGAGCAAACGGGAATTATTATTTTGCATTTTCATTTTTTGTTACGAATTCAGTATGATTGAGTTAGCTAAAATGTTTTACCTTCCATCAGAAGACGGATTCCAAACTCCAGGAGAATTAATAATTGCAGCGTCTCCGCCTAATGTTTTCCACTGAAATGAAGTGGGGCAATTTTATCGAAAAAATTGGAAGATCTGCTGCTAGGAGGGTTAGTTCACTATGCCGTTCGAGACTAATTTTCTCGACAGAATCGATCTTGTAGTTTTTTAAGACTACCACTTGTCTCTGCATTGAATTTTGCTGCACGGTTTAATTTGGTGTTTGTGCCATCAATCTATGGATTCGTGACAGAATCCAAAGAATAATTTGTAGTTTTATCAGTCCTGACTTGGCATTCTACCATGTTCAATTTCTCCCTCCTCAATATTTGTCGGTTGGTTTATTTCCATTTAAGAACTTGCGGGTTAGCGGCTTCGTAATAATGCTTGGAGTGAAAGGATGAAAAATAATTATAGATATTTTGAAGTTGTGTAGTTATGGCCATCACTGAAAGTGGAATCGGTAACACGATTTTGAATACAGGGCGAGATTGCTTTGAACATTTTTTCTCCTATATATCTTCTAGTAAACTTATAGACTATAATTTTGGAGATGGAAAAGGTCATTGAAATATGCAATAAAAAAATACGAAATTATTTAAAATACAACTATATTGAAATGGAAAAGGAATACGTAAGTTTAAACTCACACCAAGTGGATATCTCCTGATATCTTTTACTGTGTTGCTTTTTGTAGCGAGATATTTTAATTAATATCTCGTTGCAGGTACGAAACTATTGTGAACAAGCTTTCACCACTGATATATATATATATATATATATATATATATATATATATATATATATTTATATATATATATGTGTGTGTGTGTGCGCGTGTGTGTGTGTGTGTGTGTGTGTGTGTGTGTGTGTGTGTGTGTAGAGTGAGAGAGAAGGCATGAAGATTGAGTTAAAACACGAGAAGGTCAGCGCTGTTAACCTCACTATCCGCGCACACACAAACACAGGCATATATATACATTAGAGGGTACAGCTTATAATTTATATAATAAAGAAACAATTTATACGCATAATTAACATTGCTATTTACTTCTTTGTATAAAACTGATTATATATATATATATATATATATATATATATATATATATATATATATACACAAGTATATGATTTGTGTATGCGGAATAAATTCCAATAAACAACAATTATTATTCTGAAAAGAGTGCTCAATACAGAGTAGAGCAGATATAATTATTCATTTAAAAATTATAACATAAATATATTATAAAATCACTACAAAAAGAGTCATTTTGTTTCAACACCTCCGGTGTCTTATCAAGTGATTATGTTGAATGTGAAATAAATGCTTTTAAATGTTTCAAATTAATTAACTGATCCTCGGCAAGAGGAAAACGTTGCTACAAAAGCTAGAATGACCAATCAACGCACAAGTATAGGAGAATTAAAAAAACTTGACAACGAAGTAAGGTTATAATAGCTATTAAGAGCTTTAAACTGGGGTTATACTAAAATAGAATTTATTCTAAACAATAAGTATTAAACAATATGATAGAATTTGGTATTAAAATAAAAAATAAAAAATTACCAATTTTAAAATCTAAATTTAATCTCTATTAACTTTAAAATTATAAAATTACTGAGGAGAAAAGAAATAATACATATTTTATTCAAATTTCTTCTTTATTAAATTACGTTAGAATAGACACTAATATCATCAGGTCTTCCCGACAAAATGTATACATTTTAATCCCAAGTGTGTAAGTGGGGTGCTAACCTCTCGCGTAAAACAATACAAACACACTCAGATTATAATACATAAGCACCCAGACATATTTAGATATATGTGACGAGACAGTAAATATCTCCACGGCACTTTATAAAAAACAAAAAAAAAAAAAAAAAAAAAA